AAGGGATGTCTCAAAGGTTAAACCTAGAACAAACAAGACCAAGTCCATGGTCTGCACTCCAAAGCAAGGATAAGAAGCACTACTAGACTCTCTAACCTCTACCTTTTTACTCAAAGCTACAATTCCCAGCTCCCCCGCCCTTGCACCTCCACCTCAGGTTTGGTTCCATGTGCCATCCTAACAGCAAAAACAAACGAACACCAGATGATCTTTTACAATACATTTGTCACCACATACTAGGTGGAAACCATTCTGGTCTGAGAAACAAAACAAACCCTCATGGAAAGACTGTGTGATCTCAGATTAAAGTCTGTGTTTCAGATTCTTACTACCAAAATCACTCCTCTATGCTTCTCAGAAATGTTCCAAGATTTCTCTGAATTTGTATGTGGGAACAGTGCATATCAACACAGGTACCAGTTATAAGCCTCTAAAATATCTGATGAATGCTTCCCAAATACTTGACACTTCCTCTCTGCTTTAAAATAGTGCACTTATTTTCTTTGGTCAAATGTAAGAGTGATATATATAAAATGATATGAAAACAGGCACTACAAAGAGCCACTGGTCTAATTCTTCCTCTTGACATAACTCTGCCCAAATCAACTGGCCTGAGTAACTTAAGTTGGCATCTCAACAGCCTACTCAGGGCTGAATCACTGCTGCAGAGCAGGCACTCTGGACTGATGAAAGAGCTTACTTACCCTATAATGAAGATGAAGAGGACAGACTTGCTCAGAGTCACATGCAAATCAGTGAACAAACCAACTGGCCGATATTTGGTTTAATTATAAAGTCAATGGTGGGGTGCCTGGGTGGCTCAGTTGGTTCAACGGCTGCCTTCGGCTCAGGTCATGATCCCGGGGTCCTGGGATCAGGCCCCGCATCGGGCTCCTTGCTCCATGGGGAGCCTGCTTCTCCCTCTCCCTCTGCCTGCCTCCCGCTCCCTGTGCTTGTGCTCTCTCTCTCACTCTCTCTGTGTCAAATAAATAAAAATCTTAAAAAAAAAAAAAGTAAAAAAATAAAGTCAATGGTAATTTGTACTGAATACTATGTT